TACAGTAGCCAAGTGTTAAAGGAGTATTACATTGTATTTCAGCCTCGCATATACCTAAAGAGGAAGTTAGTTAAAACTAAGGAAGAGAGTTTTAACCATTTATCCAAGTAAGAACAGCTGATGTTGGGCCAAGATCTCCCAGTCCAAGGATGTGTGTCAGCTTACTGGGTTCTCCTGCTCGGGTCAGTCAGCTGTGACAGGTCCTCCAGGCTAGCTGGCCATCTGTCCAGCCTCTCCTCCACCCTGGCTCCTGCCTGTGAGCCCAGGAATTTTCCTCCACTATGAGCCCCTCTGTGGTCATGTCACATCCCGGGCTGCACTAGAAGGGTCCTGGTCCTGCTGTCTAGCCCTCCCTCCCCAGGGCCACATGTCACCTGAGTCTCTTGAGTGAGCCTGATTCCCAGGGCCTTGGAGGATCTGAATTCAAGCTAGTTGCATTGAATTAAAAAAAAAAAACAATTTACCAAGATGTCAGCCCATGGAGGGCTCAAAGCATTTTTTGCTGCTTCTTATAAGAAAAAATGAGGAGGCCCTTGGGTCTTTTTCTTATTTTCATATCCAAGGAAACTTCAAGGTGAAAAATCCTCTTGACCATGGTCTGATGGCACTGTTGATGGCTGATGTTTTGGGTTTTTCTTTCTTTTTTTCCTTGCAGAACTGGGGATTGAACTCAGGCCCTTGCACTTGCCAGGCAAGCACTTATTCTATTGAGCTATCTCCCCGGCACTGCTGATGATTTTCAAATGAGGAAAACAGACTATTTTTGATCATTACAACAAAAGAGGAAAATTTGTTTTCCTAGAAGTGTTGTAATTTAACCTCACCACCATCTTTAGCAACTAGAGAACAATCAGCCATCTATTTGCCATTCTAATGTTTTGTGGTTTATTTCTCAACCCACTCCCTCCACCCAATAGTTCTCTAATGTTTTAAGCAGTGGTTGGAATCCTATTAATGTGCACTATTTGACCTCCATTGTGGTTGTTTACATCATAACAGACATTTCTGGTATTGCTACAGGACTGGAAAACATTAATTTGAGGAATTGTACATTTGATTCCTCTGAAGATGTGCAAAGTCTAGAATGAGGAAGTTATCAGCCTAGAGAAGAGACTGCTGGAGGAGGAAGGCTGCTGCCCTTCTCTCTCCCTCCCTCCCTCCCTCTCTTTCTTCCTTCCTTCCCTCCAGAAAGAGAATCGTTCTTCTTTTTTTTTTTTTTTGGTGGTACCAGGGATTGAACTCAGGACCTTATGCTTGCCAGGCAAGTGCTTATTCTACTGAGCTAAATCCCCAGGCCCAGGAAAAGAATCTTTGTGGGTGAACAAAGAGGAACTTGGCTATGCTTGGCACCTTTGTAAAAATACAAAGTTTGTGCAGACATTTATGGATCTGAAAACCAAGGTTTCTGGGCTGCAAATGAAATACCACTTTTTCCTCTTGGTAACACACCTTGCCTTGTGCCCGGCCTGGCTGGAGACATCAGGCTCTTACTGAATCAAGGTCTCCTTGCTGGTAAGTGCCAGATATTGGGGTGAGAATAAACTCATCTTCCACCCATCCTGTCTAGCCTTTGTAGACATACTGTCAGAAATAGAACTTCCTTTTCACAGCACACCTGAAAACTTTCTTAAAAGTCAAGTTTACATGATAATAAACAAAACTTCCAGTTACTGCGCAGCTGTCAGAAGAAGCAGCCTGCACTGGCCCCTCTCCCTGCCAGCTGTGTTGACTTAGTGCCGCTCACTTCCGCCTCAGCTTCTGCGTGTGCAGAAGGGAGCCCACAGCTGTTCCTGACCTGTAGGTTTACTGTAAGGATTAGACAGGCTAGTGCAAAGGCAGTGTTTGTAACAGAAATCAATGAACAGAAGGCTCTCAACACATGGTTGTTAGCTGACATATTACACTTAAGACACTGAAGGAAATGAGACAAAATGAAGAACAGCAGTAAAAATGTAATAATGTTGTATAAGGTTTAACATATTTGATAACAGCCAGGGAGATGGCTCAGCGGAATAAGTGCTTCCCTGGCAAGTGCAAGGGCCTGAGTTCAATCCCTGGTTCCGCAAAAAAAAAAAAAAAAAAAAA